TTGTCTTAACAAATAACGAAAGAAAGAAGACTTTTTTTTACAAAATATATTTTTATTATTTACTTTAGTAGTACATTCTTTCAGTAATTGTTGAAAAACAACATTATTGTCAAGAAGAACAACAGTTTGTGGATGTTCATTAGAAGCAACTCTTTGTTGTTTTTTTATTCTTGTAATACGTCATCGTGGATGTTTTGTTTGAAATGATCGCGTTAAACGAGAATTTCTTTTTGAAACTCCACTAGATAAAAGATGAAGATATATCTATGGATGTTGTTGATTCAAGTACACTTCCCTTAAGATTTTCAAATAAATAAGAATTATTCGATGTAGAAAATGAATTATCAAATGGACGAACTAATGGTGCATTCATTACAATTAATGAACAATATTGATAAGTTAAATCACGACAATCACGATATAAACGAATATGATCAGAAAAATACTTTGAATACAAAAAATAAAAATAAATTCGTATGAAAAAATTTAATTCAAAAAAAAAAATTTTTTTTTACTTGTAAATGTTTATTAGTTAAACCAAAAAGATGATTATCTTCATTGAGTTTTGATGCAATTTTACTATCAACAAATGAAACAAATGATTGTGTTTCCATAAATGCAAGTAAAAAAGGCACATGTGGTTTTGGTTGATCAGCAATAAACATAGTTCGATCAAAATTTTTTGTTGTACTTCGTTGTGCTAATCATTGATCAACATTAGAATATTTGCCCACTGGTGGATAACATATAAATGCATCCATTTGACTAAATAATTGGGCAAAACGATTTATAAATGATACACGTAAACAATTATTCGCTGATATTCGACGTAATTCAGATTCATTAAATAAACATGATAGTCTACTATTACTATTTTCATCATCATTATTATTAATAACAATTCCAGCACGTTTAGCTATTGCTGCAAGTCTTGCTAATGCTTGACTTGGTTCATAATTTGATTTTTTTAATAAATTTTCACCATCAATATGTGTCCAATCTTCACTCTGTTGATATTTTTGTTTAGTTTTAAAAGATTTTTTTTGATAAATTACTATGAATATAATTATTAAATCGTAATAAAATATTATTTAATTTATTTATAAAACAAGTTCGATCTGGAAAACGTGGCATATCATTAGGCAATTTAATATGTCCAGTGTCAATATGAACAACACATCGTTGAACTTCAAATGTTAATTCATCGCTTGTATGACTAGATCAATCATCATCATCAACATTTTTACCATCGGAATTTACATTCGATTTAT